ATATATTTTGTTTGTAGATAGATATTTGCATGCTGTCTCCTGCATTAGAATGTGAGTTCCTTGAGAACAAGGATTTTTTTTTTGTCTTTCTTTGTATCCCTAGCACTCAGCCCAATGCCTGGCATATGATAGGTACTTAATAAATGTTTATTGACTAACTGATTGCACATTTCAAAATATTTACTTGTATATCAGTGGCCTTCCTCAGATCATCTTAACAGTCAGGCTCTGTCAATCTAACATAATAATCAGTTGTTATTTAATAACCCATATTTTAACTTCTTTTTTTAAATTAAAAAACAAACTATATTTTTAATCAAACTACTAGGAAAATATGTCACACTCTTCAGCAGATGTATATTTTAATTGCCTCCAGTATAAAGAGAATAAGATCCTTTCCAATACAATGACATGGCTAGGCTATGTGAAAAGTGTTCAGAAAGCCCTACCAGACAATAACTGGGTAATGACAACAGCTGCCTCCTCAATTCAGCGAGAGTAAAAGTTCTGATTTGCAACCTGCCTCACTCCAACGAAGCTTCAGTTGTCTTTCTACCCTTTGTTCCCAGAGGGTTGCTTCAACAAGTCATTTCTATTGAAGAAGGCTGATTAACAATACCAGCGTCACATGTTACATCCTGCTCTAATTTACAAAAAACTATTTTTCCCTAGGCTAATTATCTATTACTCCTCTAAGTAAGAGGCTTAAAGTTAGTATACAAGCTAAAAGATGCTTTTGCTTACCTTAATACTATTGAAAATGCTAAAAATCTCTCTCTCTCTGTCTCTCTCTCTGTGTGTGTATATATATATGCATATGTATGTGTATATGTGTATATACACATACATATGCATATATATATATATACACATATATAATTTGGGGGGTTGTCCCTACAGAAACTTCTTACCACTCAATAGGTCAGAAAAAAATGTGGGAGAAAATAGGAATCACTATCATTTCTCAACCTCTTGAAGGACTAACCATGTAGAAATCCTTCAGTGACCAGGTAGCCTAATAATGGAAAGTAAGAAGAAATAATATATAGCAATATATTATTTATATAAAAGGAGCTTTTCAGAGTTCCTATCCAAAATACCTTCCTTTACTCTGCTATCATTACCTTTTAATCTCATATTCTTACATGGAGGAAAAAAAGGCCTATCCAATTATCTCCCCTTTTCAATTAGAAATAACCTCAGGATTTTTGTGATATATGAAAATGGTCCAATCATGTTCCTATTAGATGTGACAACTGCATCAACTAAAAGTAATTGGCTGCCACAAGAACTCAAATCAGAAGACAGGGGGGTGGGGGAGGTGGGAAACTTCCAATAACCATAAATGAAAGGATACTTCTAGCACTTATGAATACAATACCTCTTGTGCACCTTAAAACTACAACGATTTTACTAAAACGATGAGATTAGGTTCTATAATCCTCCTATGCTACCTTCAATCCCTATCTTAGCATATTTTTTTTCCATTTTTTCACCTAAAGGCTAGAACATATAACTGAACCAATGGAATCTAAGGTGCTAATAGGAAATTCCTATAAGATTATGCTTAAAAAGTAAGCAGCCTTGATTTATTCATTCTTAAACTCAATCTCAAAGTAAAAAAAAAATTAAATCCAAGCTCCTTTTAAAATATACTCATCTTCCTATCCTTGACAATCACTAACAAGACTCATTTCACAACAAATGACAGAGAATCTTTTTGGCATGGCAAACTATTTCAAGTTAAAGAGAACTTTTTACCAAGATAATTTATTATTACTCTTTTGGATATTTCTAAATGTTCAGAAAGTTTTTCTATGAATAATATGAATGAAAAAAGTTGCCACTTTTACTCATTGCTCCTGGTTTTGCCCCTTAGGAGCAAGTAAAACAAGTTTAATCACCCTTTTAAAAATTATTTTTGTATTTCACTAAATAAAATTGAGTATGTATATATATTTTCACTTTTTGAACCAATTTAAATATGTGAGGTATATGCATTCCACCCTCTACCATTTCCCCCTCCACTGTAAAAGTTCTTCTTTGTTATCCCTCTTTTATGTGCGACAATCTTTCCCATTCTTCCTCTCCCTTCCCTCTTCTCCCAGGGCATCCCTCTTTCTCACCTAAACATTTTTTTCTTACTTCATTCCAACATAATAAACTCATTCCTACCCCCTTTTTCTTTGTAGAATCCTTCTGACTGCCTTAATAATGATAAAGTTCCTTGGAGATATATGTGTCATCCTATCATATAGAAATATACACAGTTTAACCTTTTTGAGTCCCTTTTGATTTCTCTTTCATGTTCATCTTTTTATGCTTCTCTTGAAAGTTGGATTTTCTATTCAGCTCTAATCTTTTCATCTGGAATTCTTGAAAGTCCTCCATTTCATTAAAGACCTGCTTTTTTTTCCCATTGAAGTATTATACTCAGTTTTTCTGGCTAGGTTATTCTTGGTTGTAATTCCATCTCTTTTGCTTTCCTGAATGTCAAATTCCAAACCTTCTGTTCTTTTAATGTAGAAGCTGCTAAAAATCTGTGTGATTCTGACTGTGGTTCCATGGTATTTCATGGTTTCTTTCTACTGTCGTGAAATATTTTCTCTTTGACCTGGGAGCTCTGGAATTTGGTTATACTATTTCTAGGAGTTTTCATTTTGAGATATCTTTCAGGTGGTAATCAGTGAACTCTTTCAATTTCTATTTTACCCTCCAGTTCTAGGATACTAGTATGGGATCCCAAATGGGAAAAAGTCATAAAATACAGCAATAAGTGAAAATCCTATAAAGATTTAAACTCTATGAAAGGTGGAAGCCAGAACATGGTGACCTATTTACAATCATAACTTAGAAACTGAATTATATTTTAGACACTGAGTCATAACTTAAGATACTATGACCAAAGCCAAAAAAAGAATATCATGACCTATATGTGACTGGGAGATGACCAATACACAAACTTATATTTGGGCATAACACTGGCTTAACTCCCAAGGACATTACTAAGCAGAAAACCAAACATATCCACCAATTAGTAGTGATGCACTCTCTAGCTCCTCCTGCCATTCTTTCCTTTCCTGTCTGCTTTCTATAATTGCCATTGGAATTTTTGGGGTTCTTTGCAAGGACCCACTGAACTGTCTAGCAGCTGCCCTAGATTGTCCCTGTTTTGGAAGTAATGATGGATTAAACTACCACCTATAATTAATATGGAGGAGATACAGGGTTCCCCAGCAAGGGGAATTCCGGACATTACACCTGGGGATAGCTTTCCTTAATGATTTCTTAAAATATGGCATCTAGACTGTTTCTTTGACCATGTCTTTCAAGTAATCTAATAATTTTAATATTCTCACTCCTTTATCTACTTTCCAAGTAAAATGCTTTTCCAAGGACAAATTTTGCATTTCCTATTTTTTTTTCACTTTTTTGAATTTGTTTTGTTGTTTCTTGATGTCTGATAGAATCATTAGCTTCTACTTGTTCTGTTCCCTTCCAATTTTTAAGGAATTATTTTCTTTGGTGAGCTTTTTTTTACTTCTTTTTCGATTTGGCAAATTCTGTATGTTAAGGTTTTATTTTCTTCAGTATTTTTATGCCTCCTTTACCAAGCTGTTAACTGCCTTTTAATAATTTTATTCCTTTGCTTTCATTTCTTTTTCATAATTTTCCATTACAATTCTTATTTGATGTTAAAAATAATTTTAGCTCTTCCAGGATTTTCTGTTGAACCTGTGTCCAATTCACATTTTTTTCCTTTGAGGCTTTGATTGTAGCTGTTTTGACTTCATTGTCTTCTTCTAAGTTTGTGTCTTGATCTGCCCTGTCACCACAGTAGCTTTTTACAGTCAAGTCCTTTTGTTTTTGTTGTTTGTTCATTTTCCCAATCTATTTCTTTATTTGGAACTTTACGTGAATGTTGGACTCTCTTCCTAGCATGAGGAGGGGAGGGGCTCTGCCTCAAGCTTCAGTTTGTTTTTTTTTCACACTGCTGTTTTCAGAGATAGTTCTAGGGTTTTGGAAATTTTTGGTGCTTTCAAGGTGGTTGTGATCTAGAGAGAAGTACAGTCGCTGATCTCTTGGACTGTACTCTAGTCCTTACCCAGGATGGGCACCAGATCCCTTGGGATTGCAATTAATACTGCTCCTCAGGGCTCCTCCTCCCTTTAGGCCAGAAACTATACTGTTCCTAAGGGTCGCTAAATCTTTGGGGCTGAAAGTGACATCTTCCTTCAAGGCTTCCATTCCCACTTGACCAAAAGTGCCCCTTTCTGCTCTTGAACTATGACTCAGAAGTAGCTATAGGCAATGGAGTTGCCAGAGTCTCAGCCTGTGTCCAGTGCTAGCACACAATATCTTGTGATCTCTTTCTGACCAATTGCCAAGTCCCCTTACTGTCTCTGTCTTGAATTCCTGAAGCTACTGCTGCAGTTTGAGACATTATTAATGTTGTTTGGAGGGGAATACTGGGAAAGGTCAGGTAAGTGCTTCTCCACTCAACCATCTCGACTCTACCTCTGGAAGTCTCTCTGATCACTCTTCTATAACATAGCATTATTGCCATTAAGTCTTCTTTACTTCAATTACTAAATGCTGATAAGCTACTCTTGGTTTCTCCTAGTTTATTATGTCTTTCCCAACCTCCATCGTTTAGCTTTCAATTTGTTTTAGTAGATTCAGGACACTTCAGGACCTTAAATGTTTCTAATTTAGTGACTCTGGACCTCACCCTTAGGATGTATGATTAAATCCGACTTCTTAAGTGGCAAGACCCTATTTGTCTAATAGAATAAAATATGAGTTAAACAAAGCAACACATATATCTTCAAAAAGAATATTAAATAGTACCTCATTCTATTTAAAGAGTTTTTTTTTCCTCAAATAGCTATACTAGTTTGCTATACTTTCACAGGATTATATGAAGTTAGCAACCACAGAATTCATATCCTAGTTTCATTTCATAATAATAGAAGTATAAAATATATAATACTACTTACCTTTGTGGAGGAGGGACACTGGGTGACCATGACCTAGTTCTTCCTATACTATCTACTCGATGAGGGGACCCAGACTGTGAACAATGATTTGATGACATCACTTGTTCTGGCACTGACAATGTTGAACTCTGAAGGTCTCTTCCATTGTGCCGATAATCTACAGAGCACAAATATTGAGGTTCAAGTCATTTATAGACTTTTTAAAAATTGTCCTGCTTTAAGCAATATACGCTGAAACTATACTTTTAGATGTAATATATGAAAAATAGGTAAGCAATTATCAAATGTAAAAAACCTTAATGACTATCATAAACTGTGACATTTTTATATTATCTGGCTATACAAATTTATCTAGAACTTCATTGAATACTTATATTAACCACTGTGTTAGATTCAATGGAGGTTTACAAATAATAAAACTTAATCTCTTCCCTTCACACCCTGACAGTCTTGCAATTCAATAGAATTCCATTCAACAAATGTTTATCCAGTACAAAGTAGGAAGCATTGAACTAGATTCTGGGGATTCAAAGGAAAAACAAAACAGTCCTTAGGTCTTATATTCTATTGGGCATACACAACCTGTGTTCAAATAATTAAGTATAAAGTATTTGTGGAGAAATACAAAATGATTTAAAGAGGGAGAGAATGCTAAGAACTAAGGGAAAGAGAGGAATTAATAAAAGCTCAGGCACCTGAGCAGTACATTGAGTAAAACTAGGAATTTCATGAAACAGAGGTGAGAAGGGTGTATATTGTAGACATGGGAGATCTATTGTGCAAAGGCACAGAATAGAAAATGGAATCTCCTGTATGGGTAAGTAGCAGAACTGTTTGACTGGAATGGTGTGCAGAAAGAGGAAAGATAAATGATACAGAGATTGTTAAGGGCTTTAATTTGGGGTCTGATGATTTTATATTTTATCCTAGAGACAATAGGGACCCAACAAAGATTCCTTAGTGGACATAATATGGACAAAGCTGTGTTTTAAGAATATCAGTTGGCAATTCTGTGAAAGATAAACTAGAGAAGAGAAAGACAAGGAGACCACTTAAGAGGTTATCACAAAATTCCAGGTAAGAAGTGATAAGATAACAGATAGAGATTATGCAAATGGAATAAGAAGAAAGATACAAGAGATGTTGTGGAAGTAGATTAAGTAAAAGTAGGTATTTTTATGTAGTGTTGAGATACAGGAAAGAGACAAAAAATGACTAAGAAGTTGCACACTTAGGTGACCAGAATGATTGTGGTAACATCAATAGAAATGAGAAATTTGTAGGATTGATTAGTTTGGAGAAAGTCATAATGAATTCTATTTTGAAAATGTTGCATTTGAGATTCCTATAAGATATTCTGGTGAAGACGTCTAGCAAGCAGATGGTAATACAGTACTGAAATTCAGTATAAAAACATCTGGAAGTCATATGTATATAGAAAACAAGTGAATTTTTGGAAATTGATATCACCAAGGATAAAGTTCATATTTAAAGCTCTTCACAAACCTTAAAATATTACATAAATGATATCTCTTGTTATTATTCCTAATAATAATAATAATAACAATAAACATAAGAGGCCTTAGAACAGAACCATTGTGGAAAAAAAAATCTTACCTTTGTGGATGCCAGAACCTCTTAGGAGGGAGGAGAAGATAAAGAATGGTCAGAAAGATAGCAAGAAAATCAAGACAACAGTCGGAAAGAAGCTAAGAAAATATCCATGAAAGAGGGAACAAAATAGATCCAAAATAGAAAAAAACTATGTATTTCAGAAAAAGAAGCCATAAATCATATGAATATATGCTATATATACTATAAATCATAGCTTGGTAGAACCCCATTCATTCAAAACTGATTTCTCTCTTAAAAGAGAGACCCAATTCCACTGGCTCTCATAGTGATTAATGGAGAAAGTACAATGTATTCTCTAATCCTTAAAAGGACAAAACAATGGGCAAGGAGATTCCAGCATATAAACTGACTAGCTGGAAAAACTAGGCAGGACTTAAATATAGTCTTCTCAGGGTTCCTCTCAAAGGCACTCTATTCTCATTTCTCTCTTCTGGTGCCCTTCCTGGACAATTCGTAAACCTTTTTTTTTTTTTTTCTGGTAGCTGACTAGAAAGTCTTCCTAGGCCCAGTACAGGTACCAATTAGTAATCCACTTCTTTTCAGGAATGCTTTGTGTGTCTTGTATATTTTAAGTGATTTACAAACTTTATTCTTAACTTATACAAGTAATTTTTTTTTATAAATGTGTGTGTTTGTTACTAAGCTAGAAATATTCCCAAAGGTTTAGGTGATTTCTGCTTCTTATTAATTACTTCTTTTGAGTAAAATTGTCTATTTATTTAGCAAAATTCAATTCACCAATTATTCTATTACCTACTGAAAAAAGATCCCAAGGTAAAAAGAACCCTGACATCTTAAGAAATTTGGTAGAGAAAATGGTGACACTTCTAACAGATCTTCTGGAGTAAATAGATATATTTGTAACAACAGGTAGAATTTAAGCATAAGGTCATGATGGAGTATATATTTTGGCCTTATGGGATGAATGAAAGATAAACATAGAAAAGCAGAATAAGATGTGAGGAAGAAGGCAGAAGGAAAATAGTCAATGTTTTTCACTATTGGAACGGTACAGGTAGTGCTATAGATTTTAGATGTAGAGAATACTGATTCACCGCTTCTAAAAAAGAAGAAAAGGAATTACTTCTAGAAAAGGAATGATTCCAGAAGAGGTAAGAGAAGATGGAATCAAGAGTGCATATAGAAAGAGTTACACTGAGACACAAAGTCCTCTTCATCTGATGAACAAAAGGAAAAGCTCCATGAAGATACAGTGAGTCTTAGAAAGGGCATCCATTTTGGATAGGAAAAAGATCACAGGAATAAAGAATTCAGAGATAAAAGCTATTTCAGTAAGTCATACCTGAACACAAATCTCCAAGTGCCCAAAAAATCCTGTCCAGCTTTTGCTTGAAGCTCTCCAAAGAGTGGAACCCAAGGTGATTGGACATCTCTAATTATTAGCAACTTCTATGTAATATCAAGCTTAAATCTATCTCTTTGCAACATCTCTTCATTGTCCTCACTTCTATACTCTGAGATCAACCAAAGTCTAATCACTATTATAAATGAAAATCATCCAAACACTTGAAAACAGTTAATAATGTTCGCCCCTAAGTATTATATTCTCAAGTTGAAAAATCTCAATTTCCTTCAACCTATCTACTCACAGTGTGGTCTCTAAGCCCTTGATCAATTTGGCTACTCCTCTGGAAAGTATCCAATTTATCAATGTTCTACCTAACATGTAGCCCTCCCCTCCATCCAGAACTGAAAATAACATTCTAGATGTGGTTTGACCAGGAACATTTCACTTTCCTTTCTCTACTAGGTTTTTCTATAACATTTTCCATGAGTTTTACTTTCCTTTCCTTTATTTTTATTGTTGCTTAATTTTATTTGATGCATTTCTTGCTGTTTTGAGGTGATAGAAGGGGAAGTGGCAGTAGAAACAATAACTGACATCTATCTTGCTACAAGTTCTGTCACCTCAAGCTCTTTAAAGCTATATCAGCAGAGCACAAATCTGTTAGGCCCTAGAACACTAGAAAAATTTTAAGTAAATCTTGACAATATAATGTTATATCTGTCATTTTATCACTACTGTAGCTAAATCTAGAGAGGCTGCTTACCATAAAATAAATTTTTTAAGTACCACAACTCATGAAGAATAAATAAAAGCAAAGAAGAGGTTGTGATCTGCCTTGGTGGAATGACTATTCACACTGATGGATTTGTAGATCCCTGAATTATTAAAATATATTTTACCTAACTGCCTAAACTTATTTATTTATGGATTTGTGTATATGTATATATATACATACATATATACATATATATGTATGTGTGTGTGCGTGTGTGTATGTATGTATATATATACATGTGTATATATATATGTATAATTTTCTAAATATAGTCCATTATATAAAATCAGCATGACTATAACTATAAACACTCTGAACAGTAGGTTTTCTTAAGGTAGCCAAATGTCATAATAGTTTTGTTAGCCTTTATTCCATATTGGTGACTCATATTAAACTTGCAATCTATTAAAACACCCAAATATTTTTTCATATAACTGGCATTTATATAGTACTGCTGAGTTTACATAATCCTTTTTTGTGTACATTACTTCATCTGAGCTTCATTTTTTTACCCTTAAACATAGGTACTATAGTATTAGCATCTCCATTTTATAGATAAGGAAATAGAAAATTCAGAGATGTTAAGTGTCTTATCCATGTTGATATGGATAAATAGTACAGGCAAAATTTGAACCCAAGCTCTCCACACTCCAAATTCAATACTCTGTCTGCTATGGCACACTATTTCTCCAATGTAACTGTCACAAAAGGTAATATCTAGCCATATCTACTCTCTCTTGTATTTATGTAGTTAATTTAAAAAATCATATGGAAGACACTACACTTCTTTCTCCTAAATTTAAACTTACCAAATTTGGTCTATCAGCCTAACCTAGGAAAGGTTTTTTTTTTTTTTTTATCCCGTTTCTATCACCTAAGCTATCCTTTCTACCCTTATGGTATCTGTGAATCTGATAAGATGACATCTATGCTTTCATCCAATTTACTGATAAAAATGTTAAGGAGAACCCAAGGCATCATAACTCGTACCTACCTGCATAGAAATTTCCTTATTTGGTTGAACTCAAGTCAGTCAAAGCTAATAGTACTGATGGATATAAACAATTCTAAATGATACTCTGAATTTCAGCACAAAGAATCTGGACACTTGCAGATAAGTGTCCACATATCTAAATATGCTTTCTGAATCTGGGTTGAAAAACATACACAGAAGTATTGATATTTTTATGGGTATGGCTAAAATCACTTGGAATGATGACAAGATTTTTGTTTTAACTGACTTCACTTTTGAAATTCCTTAATACTTTATTATGGAAGTATAGTTTTCAAGAGAAATACAATAATGTTTTAATATTTCTGTATATTTTACAGTAAATTGTTTGTGAACTACTCAGTAAATAACATTTTAAGATTTCCTCACAGGGATTTAGAAATCAATAGTGATTTATACAAATTTTCAGCTTATAGTATAGTCTATAAAATTTTTTACCTGACACTACACCGATTCCATCATCACAGTCATAGTCAGAGACTTCACTGTCACTTATTCGCTTAGACCCTGTGAGGAAGAAAATAAGTACAAATTGTTCATTTACATTAAAAAAAAACAGTTTCTACTTCACAGCACATCAAATACAAAATGAAAATAATCTAAATTGTATATTTGTGGATGAAAAAATATACAAGAAAGCCACTATGAAGTTGCAAAGACTGATGTTCTCACAGATTTGGGTAAAAATCACAAATAACATAACTATTGGTCAATTCAAAAAGATTATGATTCAAAATGTATTGAAACTTGTGATGCTGTGGAGTACAACTACATGTATAAAACATACATAACCTGTAGTTTACATTTGAAAATCCATTAGATTAGGCAAAGATTAAATTTGACTATTTTGAAATAAAAGCTTCTCCATGTAATCAATTTTTCACTCCTTTCTCTTCTCATAAGGAGCTGTATAAGGAACTGCTTAGGTAGAAACTCATTCCACCAATGCAGATCAGCAAAATATTTGTTCCTTTTAACCTGAGAGATGTATGGAGGTACTGAGAGATTAAGTGACTTGTACATGATCAGCTGACATGTATGAATATGTTCCTGGCCACCTCTATCCAACACATTGCCTCTCATGGTCAAAGTAAACACCAAAAAAAAGAAAAAAACTGGTATATTTTTGAATGTTTTAATTTGTATATTCATGACCAACATGCATGACACACAAATTATCAGTTGAATATAGTCAACTCTTTATTATGTATCTTAATTGAGAAACACTATAACTGAGGCAAATAGCTTCTAATACTTAGATATACAAAACCTCCCTTTTACTAGATAATTTCTATCTATTAACCTGTATAAGATATGCTAAAAGGTCACATCTGACTTTTATTTCAATTTTATTACTTCTCCATTCACCTATTCTCTCCATTAAAGGAAATAATAACGGGATATAAGGCTCAAAGTTTGTAAGCATCAGTAGAAACAAAAAAAGATAAGCAGAAGACATGAATAACTTACAAATTAAACCTATTTCCAAAAATAAAGAGATAGACAAAACATAAAAAAAAGCAAAACCTGTGTTTGAATTTAAATGAGTTGCACTAAATAGATAACATTTCCTAAGTGTACAAAGACATAAGAGTAACCATTATTAAGGCACAAAAGCACAAAATGTATCATTCTCCTTTATAAAAAGAATTTTTGAAAATAGTTTTAAAGTGTATTAATGCTTTTCTAACAAGCTAGCATCTAAATAAAACAACTAGAACTTAGGTAAATAAAGCAGACTTCAACTTCAAACTTGATTCTAATATGTAAATCAAATAGATATACATGTAGACACTAGATTAAAATGCTTTTGTATTCCTATTTCCATTTATCTTTAGTATTTGAAAAATAAGTACATTGTAAAACATGGATGTGCTTGATTATGTAAATACTATTTTCCCTTTTGTCATTCAGTATCTGATATCAAAATGTAGAGTTCATAGATCAAAGGATTATAGATTTAGAGTTGGAATGGATTTTAGATGACATCTAGCCCAAACACTTCATTTTCCAGATGAGGAAAAGTGAAAAGTCCACAGAGGTGAAGTGACTTGCTCAAAGTTACCCAGGTAGTAAGCCACAAAGCCAAGATACAATCATATCTCAATTCCAAATACCAATCTACCTTCTACACTACTGTGTTATAGAACTTCAACATTATGCCATAGCACTTAGCAATGGGTTGACATCATGTTGCCACTTTAAAAAATGTTTAAAGTGTTAAAATGGCACCTGGGAATCCACTAAATATGCTGATAAGATCCTAATGTAAAAAAAAAAATGAATTCCTCTAGTTTGTCGATCAACATCCTTCTACCTTCTTGTTTTAATGAAACCATATTATCCTTTAAACCCTTTCCTGGCAGCCACTCTTCTTACTCCTTCCAAATCAAGGGGTCAGGAGGATGGGTTGGCATACCCTTTACTACTCACCCTTTCTTCAAGATCATTCTTCTACCAACATTGTTTAATAATTTCCTTTGAGCCCACCCTAGATAGTACCCTTGCCCCACCATTATTGTTATCTATCAACATCTAGGTCTTTCTTTCAATATTCTCAATGATTTCATGACCTTACTTACTCTCTGATTCTTCATTCCAACCTCTGCCACAGCCAGGGACTTTAACATTCATATTGAAGTCCACTCCACAATCTAGACTTCTCAACTCCTTATTTTCTGATGTCCAAACACTTCTTTCTCCTTTAGTTATATATGGCATTATCAAACCTTAGACTTCACTGTCTCTAGGAACTGTACTGCTTCTAGAATTCAGAACTTAGAACTAAACCATAACCTCTTACCAAAGGAAACAGTGCTACATTTGGAGTAAGTGAATATAGGATTAAATCCTAGCTATCACTTATTAGCTATGTAATCTTAGCCAAATCATTTAACATGTACTATTTCCTCATACATGAAACAAAGGAGTTGGACAAGATGATTTCTTTGTTTTTATTTTTTTTTAATTTTTTTTTTAGGCAATTGGGGTTAAGTGACTTGCCCAGGGTCACACAGCTAGTAAGTGTCAAGTGTTTGGTCTGAGGCCGGATTTGAACTCAGGTCCTCCTGACTTCAGGGCTGGTGCTCTATCTACTGCACCACTTAGCTGCCCTGACAAGATGATTTCTAAGTTAACTCTCTATGTCTAAGATCTTATGATCTTTCCATCTGTTCCATTCTCTCACACTACACTTAACTTTCACCCTTACCATGACCTCTGGTCTTGTGACCTATCATTTTCCCAGTCGGTCTCCCTAATGTTGGCTTCATGTGCCCCATGTTCAGCCATAACTCCATGGTCTGCCATGTTAATGTTTCACTAGCTACTAATATGAAAATCCTTGCCCTCCTATATTTTGCCTTTCTTTGTCTTCAAATCTTCATCCCTGGGCAGTTTCCTCACCACTTTCTTTCCAGGCTACTAAGTGTTACTGGAAAAAGTGATAAAACTGAGCTGCCTTCACTGACTACAAAGTTATGTTACATAATCACAGATGGGTTCTTGCTTCTGCTTAATAGTCAACTTAGTCACTGCTGACTTTCTATCTCATTTACCATAGGATCTCTTCTGAATCTTTTCTTTACTTTGCTCTCCTCAACAGGATGCAAGTCCCACATATAATAAATAATTAGCCCTCTGTTTGAAAGAAGCCTGAGGTCACTTGAAATGAGTTCTATAAGTCTCATACACACACTACTCAATTTTTCACAATTCTTAGTACCATCACATAATTTCCCCTTCCTTCCTCTGGTCACAGAAGTATTCTTACTCCTCATAACAATTAATCTACTCTATATCTGGGATCCCATTTCATCCTAGCTACTTTTTTATCTAGTTCCATCAATAATCTCCTCTTTCATACATATATATTCAATCTTTCCCTCTTTACTGACATTTTCCCCTCTCTTTTTCTAAAAAAAAAATGGTCAGCTCTCCTCAATCAGAACAAAAACTTTCCTTTAACCTCTGTATCCCAGCTATCTATCACCTCATCCTTCTCTTTCCCCTACAGACTTCTTAATAAAGTATTCTATATTCAAAACCGTCATCACATTGTCACCACTCATTCTGTCTCTACATATCTACTGAAACTGCTCTCTCAAAGGTTTTAATGATTGCCTAATCAACAAAAGCCTTGGTCCTTTTTCAATACTGCTTGACCTCCCTGCAATTTTTCAATGATGATTATTCCCTATGACTCTCCTCTCCTGACTTCATCATCATTATACTCTTTTGGTTCTTCACTTCTTTCTCCTTTGATGGCCACTCATTCTCTAACCAATTCCTTAAAGTGAGTGTTCCTCAAGCATCTAGTTATTGGTTCTTTTCTCTTTGTTCTCTATACTCTCTTCATTAAAAAACTAATTTAATTTCATGACTTCAATCAGTATTTCCCTATTTGGTTGACTCTTAGATTTTAATTTACAGCCCTGCTTTTTTTAATTATAGAAAGATATCTCTAGGTCCCTGCTTTCAAGACAGCTTTTCTTGGTTTTATCCAACAGCTCAAATTCAACAGGTCTATACATGAGCTTACTGTCATTTCTCCTTAATCTGTTCCTCCTTCTTACCACACAATTTCAATCTATGGCACTGAAACTCAGATTGTTTCTAATGTTCACACTTGTGTACTCTTTGACTCTCCTTTCACCTCTCATATTCAAGCAATTAGTAAGTCCTGTGAATTCTACCTCTATAATAACTTTTGCATCTGGCCCTTCCTTTCTATTCCCACTCCAACCAACCTAGTACAGGCTTGCATTACCAATTACCAGGACAATTTCAATGGGCATTTGATACATCTTTCTGTATTGTCTTCTCCACCCTTTAATTTGCCTTCTATACTGTTATAATTTTTTTTTCCTTATGAACAAATATGGCTATGCCACTTCTGCCCAAGACTTTTCAGAGCTTCCTTCTTTACTAAAATAAAGTAAAAATATCTCTACTTGGGAATTCAAGGATTTCCATAGCCTGGTACTAGACTACTTTTCCAAACTTAAATCACATTACTCATTTCCACATACTCTATTCTAGTCAAACTAGACTCTCTTTGCCAAATATGAATAGCATTCTCTTGCCTTCATTGCTGTACTCATGCTATTCTTCATACCTCCAATATTCTTTCTCCCCTTCTATGTCTGCTGAAATCCTATACATGCCATGTCTCCCTCCTGCTCAAAATCTTCAATGGTTTTCTGCAACCACTAAGACAAAGTCCTAAGCTCGGCCTTTCACAACCTGGCCTTTCACAAGCCTGGCCTTTCACAACCTGACTTTCAGAATTATTTTGTATTACTGATTATATACTCTAAATTCCAGCCAAACATAACTGTTCCTACACTTTGCACATTCCACTTTCCATCCCGTTTCCCATGCTCTCACATAAGCTATCCCATTTGGAATTCATTTCCATATCACCTTCACCTCTTAGAATCCTTAGTTCTCTTTAAGGCTCAACTCTGATGTTCTACCTCATATCAAAAGCTTTTTTTGAAGTTGTA